GGGTGTAGGGTGTAGGGTGTGTAGACAGTGTGCGCGCGGTGGGTGCGCCTTTTACTTTAGGAATAGGGGCGCACCCACTAATCGCGCGCTTGCGTCAGCATGTAGTCTCACCCCAACCACCCAAACTATTCTCAATTAGGGTTTAGGGTTCACCCCCCAAACCCCCCTCAAGGGGGGCTTTCTTGCTCTCTTCTTCCCCCTCGCAGCTCACCATAAATGCGCTTTTTGACAGCAAACACAGCTGCAATGGATTAGTGTCGGGTTGTGGGTCCTCGCGGCCTGTGCCGGCCGCTCGACGAGAAGCAAGCGTTCCCAACAAACAACTCACTTCTCGCACCCAGTGAGGGTCGCTCGAGGCAAGGCCAGGCAGGGCAGGGCAGGGCAGGGGCAAAGCAGGGCAGGGCAGGGCAAGGGGGCAAACCAGGAGGCCAGGAAGGCCAGCCTCCCAGCAGCCAGGGAGGAATTCAGGGAGGCCAAGCAGGCCAGGGCCCAGGGCCTTCGAATCCGGCCGGCGAGGGTGAGGGGTCGGGGGGCCAGGGGGCCAGGCCGCCCGGGGGGCAGGGGGCCAGGGCCCAGCGGCAGGGCCAAGGGGGCCAGGGCCAGGGCGGGGGCTAGGGCCTGGGCCGAAAAAAGACCGCGCCTTTTCTCGCCTGGGACCTGCAGGAGGCCCCGGGTCCCTGGAATCTGCCAACTGAGGGCCCCAGACCCGCCTAGGGGCCCGGGGATGCCCCAAACCCCCACACCGCTTTTCGAGGAAATTGGCCGGGTGGGCCCTAGCACCGGCTCGTCCCTGGAATCTGCCAGCCTGGGGCCCAGACCCCCCTGGGGGTACCCCCCCAGACCCCCTAAAAAAGCACAAAACACACCAATAATGGGGGATTTGGGGTCCTCATTATCACGGACTGACGTCCGAGTCATTTCCGTCCCCGTATACCGGGAGGCTTTACCCTCCCTCACCGTGCTGTCGGGACGCTCGGCCCGGGGCCTCTGTCGGAGCCTCGAGCGCCCATGCAAATGGTCAGCGGCGCTCTCGGCAGTTTAGGGGGTCTTGGCAGTTCTTCTTTTCCAGGCTTGGGGCCAGAAGAAGGCGGTACCCTCATATCAAGGACCCTCAAAGGTACCCTAATTTAGAGACCTAACTATATGCCTAATCCTAAAGTAAAGCCGACATAGGTTAAAGCCTATACCCCAAACCCTAAACCGCAGCAGGATCTATTGAGCCTTGAGGCAGTGGATTACTTAGGGGCTGAGTAGTTTACCTTTAACCTTTTGGGGGTTTGTATAATCCCACTATAATTTCAAAGTGGTTAACCTTTTTTGGGCTAGGGAAACCCTAAACCCAAAGCCCTAAACCCTAAACCCGAAACCCTAGACCCTAAACCCTAAACCCTAAACCCTCAACCCTAGGATCAGGGTTGAGCATGCATTCTTTTCCATAGCTGGCAGAGTTGGGAGTTGAACTCGGCGCAGTGCCGCAGCTTCTCAGGGTCCAGAGACCTTAATAAGGGTTCAGGTGTTAGGGTTTCGGGATTAGGGGTTTAGGGTTTAGGGATTAGGGATTAGGGGCTTAGGGTTTAGGGTTTAGGGATTAGGGTTTCGGGATTAGGGGATTAGGGGTTTAAGGTTTAGGGTTTAGAGGGGCAACCTGCGGAGGATGCAGCTGCTAGGGGTCCTGGACTGCCCAGACCTCCGAGCGGGTTTAGGGTTTAGGGTTTAGGGTTTAGGGTTTAGGGTTTAGGGCCTGGTCCCGGTGGCAAGCTGCAGACGAGGACGACGACATACAGCAGTACGGTTGATGGACAAAATCCTGCATTACCCACTATAAGGAATATACCATAATTCCCATAGTTTAGGGTCCTTAAGGTCATGCAGGATTTTGTCCATCAACAGTGCGAAACCGAGGCTTCAGCTTCAGCTGCTCCATCTGGCGACGACATGGAGGAGGCTGCTGGTGCTGCCGATGCAGCTGACGACGACAGCGAGAAGGACCTGCAGGAGGAGAAGAGCTCGGCGTATTTTCTGGCGAAGGTGATGGAGATGCCTCCCTTCAATCCCCTTGCCCGCTAGGGCTCATCGAAGACGGTAGAATGGGCTCTCATTAGGAACTAGCTTTCATGTAATACTCTCATTAGGAACTAGCTTTCATGTTTATTACGGATAACTCCAACGGGTTCTTAAGCATCTTATGGAGTCTTTATTGGAACTATAGTATAATATACCCCAAAGCCCCATTCTAATTATTAAGACCCCTACACTAGGCGATGAGTCAGGTCATCGTTGGCTTCCTTCCCAAAAACAATCTACTTCTCAATTCCAAGGCTCTTACGGAACTGCAGGGAATCCTTACAGAATCCTTGCAGAACCCTAAGCCCTTGTAGGGCCTTAAATAAATGGGTAGTTCTCTAAACTAGATTCCCTTTTTGGGTCCCCATTATAGTACGGCACCCTTAGAAAAAGGATCCTAAAAGCAATCCTAATTTGGACAACTACCCAAATGCAGTCAGCGTTGCTGCTGCTGGGTGCGAGGCGCCGCAGCCTCCTCACCGCGCTTCGGGAGCTGGGTGCGAGCTTCCGTGGTGAAGGTGGGCAGGGTCGTTGCGTCGGGCTTAGTATAGGGGCCTAAATAATTAACAATACTATTTTTGGGGGTTCCTTGATATAAAGATAGTATAATGGGCCCCAAAACCCTATTCTAATTATTAAGGCCCCTATATTAGTATGCTTAAACTACGGCTTAGGGGTTGAAATTTGGGGATTTAGGGTTCCGGGCAGGGACAAGGCTTTCTTTACTTAGAGTACGGTTTAGGGTTTAGGATTTAGGGTTAGGGTTTAGGAGGGTTTATGGCTCCAACAGAAAGAAGCAACTTGCAACAGGATGTCAGAGGCGAGACTAACATAGGGGACTTAATTATAAGAATGGGGTTTGGGGGAATTTTATTTATACTATAACTTTAGTAAGGAACCCCCAAAACCCTATTCTAATTATGAAGCCCTCTTCATTAGAGTCGTTTCTCAGCTGTTTGAAGCCGTCCGTGAAGTTTCGGAGCCCCGGTGGTCGGTCACCTGTGGGCGACATGGCGAAGGGAGGCTGCTGAGGCTGAAGCTAAGTCAGAGTGCGGACACAATGATGACAAGAGAAGCTGAGAAGTCCGAAGGAAGAGAGTCGTTGAAGTTCTCGCAGCATGCATGGAGATCGGGCAGAATGATAGAGAAGTCGCTTTAGAAAATATTCCGCGAAGATTACACGGACCTGGCAGACAGTCCTGGCTTCAAGTCCTAAGCCCTAAACCCTAAACCCTAAACCCTAAGCCCTAAACCCTAAGCCCTAAACCCTAAACCCTAAACCAAACCCTAAAGCCCTAGACCCTAAGCCGTAGTCGCAACCCCAAGCTCCATCGGCAGCACAGATCCAGCAGTCTGACCCGGCATTCTAAACACTAATGTAGGGGCCTTATTAATTAGAGTAGTGGGTTGTCTTTTGGGATCTTTTTTAATTTCGCTTACTATTTTGTAGAGAACCATAATAGTAATTAATTTTCAAAGGGCTTAAAGGACAACTTAGAATAGGGTTTTGGGGGTTCCTTATCATAAGAATAGTATAATATACCCCCAGTATACCCTATTCTAACGATTCAGGCCCCTAGATGATCCCTGCACCTAAAATCCTGAAGCCCAGATCCCGCAGCTATCCCACAGACCTGCACCCCATCGCAACTCCAGAAGCTTGCGCTGCGCCCAGGGACTCCAATATCCCTGAATTAAGGAATATACTTTAATCATATCAGGGATCCTTAAGGGTTTAGGGTTTAGGGTTTAGGGATCCCTTAATTAAGGAATATAGTTTAATCATATCAGGGATCCTACTATCATTTAAGGTATATTCCTCAATGAAGGGATATTGGAGTCTCTGGGTGCATCCCGACCCGCCAGAACTACGTCCCACAGCGGTGCACGTCCACAAGATCCGAAGACAGCACGGGTGCCTAATGTAGGGGGCTTAAAAATTAGAATAGGGTTTGGGGGTATATTCTTCTCCGAGTACAATAAGGAACCCCAAAATAGCATGGGTAATTTGCAACGCTTCGCGTCGTCCGCCTCGACTCGGCCGCAAACAAAGAGGGCCAACGAACTGCTGGATTTGGAGTTTGCGGAAGTACTGCAGGGAAAGCCGGGCGAACGGATGGGGGGCGGGGGAGGGAACAGGGGGGGAGGGGGTCTGGCGGTGGGTGGGACTCCCTACAGAGAGCCCAAATCCATCGGAGGAGGCGAGATTTCACCGCAGGACCTTTAACGCCAGGGACTCTTCTCGCACATTCGACAGTCTGGCGGTTTTAAGTCGTAGGTTTGCTGCCAAGAGTAACAGAGTCGAGCAGAGTCCCGGACATAGAAGCCACGGGACACCGACAGGCCCTGCGATGTCCTGCGATGCTACTGTTGTTATGTGCGGTGCCACGGAGCTGAGCCTGTTGTTTTGGACTCATTTGCCTCCGAGGCTTAAGCAGATCTTGTGTGCCGGTAGGTCAGCACCACAAGCAAAGAACCCTGAATACCCTCAATCTAAATGGGCTGAGGCACTGAACCCCGCAGCCCATACCCCTAAAAATTCCTAAACCCTCAAGCTCTAAGCCCCCAAACCCTAAACGCCCTAAGGTCCAAAACCCTAAACCCCTAAAGCCCTAAACCCCAAACCCTAAAGCCCTAAAGCCCTTAACCCTAACCCCAAAGCCCCCAAACCCTAAACGCCCTAAGGTCCAAGACCCCAAAGACCTCAAAGATTCTAGACCTAAAGTCTCGGGTTTCTGGTTTGGGGTTTAGGTTTTAGGGTTTGGAGTTTAGGGTTTAGGGTTAAGGGCTGGACTAGCTCCGAGCCCCTCTCACCCTGAACCACTCTGCAGGCAGTCCTGCATCGCGGGGCGAGGGTCCAGATGTCTTGGACCCGATGGCTGAGGAGGTTCTGTGCCATTAACCTTAGCTTTTGGAGGTAGAGGTTTCGGGTTTAAGGGTGTTAGGAAGTGGATTTGCGGTTTTGAGGTAGCTCTTGGAGGCCAAAAAAATTTCGGAGGTTTCACAGCTTATAGAGTTGAACGAAGTGTGGGGCTTCTCGGCGTCTGACTTGCGATATTGGATTGAGGTTTTCGGTTTTGTTCGGAGAGCAGACCCTAAATAACAGGTAAAAGCCACCGACACTCGAACTCCCAAAGCCTATGACCCCAAATTTGTGACTCTACCCCCCGGTGGCCGCATAGAATGCCTATGGCAAGCAGCCTAAGCCGCCTGATCCATAAACCCCAAGCCCGTAAGCCCTGAATCTTAAACCCTTATCCTATGATATAGAAACTTGAGTAATTGCCCACAGGATTTCTTAGGGTGCCGATCGTAATTAACAACATGATACTATATCCCACATCCTATACAAAGCTGCGAATTCCCATAGATCCCTTTCTTTGAGAAACCTCTTCAACGGAAACCATTCTGATCATTCCCGCCCCTCTGTTAGGGCCTATAAAGCTGTACCTGCAACCCCAAGCCCTACACAACGAAAACGGTAGGTTATGGGCCCTGACTTCTTAGGGGCCTTAACTAACGATTGGGCCTTAATGATTACCTGTACTATTTGAGGGGTTCCTTATCATAATAATAACAGTATCGCATACGGCATACCCTAAAGCCCTCGTTTAATTATTCAGGCCGCTACATTATAAACAATCCCCTGAAGCAGGAGGTTATTTGATCCCCAGCTAATTAATCCCTAAACCCTAATCCCTAAACCCTAAACCCTAATCCTAAACCCCATACCCTAAACCCTAAACCCTTTAAGCCCTAATCCTATACCCACTCAATCCGGCAGGTGGACACCTCTGACGGCTGGATCTCCTCGCGGAGGGGAGCTGGAAGTTGGTCGTGACCTTGGCTTCCGGATCAGAAATCTCGGTCCCAGTGGCCCCTTTTTCCCTTTTTGCATTGGGTTTAGGATTAGGGTTTAGGGTTTAGGGTTTAGGGTTTAGGGTTTAGGATTTAGAGTAGGTTCCTTACAAAAGTACCATCTACCAAAAAGGCAGCCCTTTTGATTCCTAGCTTACCGGGGATCCTAGAAGGAGGACAGATCCTAAACCCTCAGCCCTTTTTGGGGGTTACCTTATAGGATCCTAAATATAAAAAGGGTTGAACCAAAAAAAGGAACTACAATGGAGACTATAGGTAAACCCTAAACCTTAAACTGGGTCCTTGTTGGATAAAATTTTACATTTTTGTTATAATAAAACCAAATAAGGATTAAAAATGACCATGCTTAATATATCTCCAGCAGGGACCCAGTAAGCCCTAAACCCAAACTCTCGGTTTTGGGCTCGAGGGCTTGGGGTTTTCGGGGCTTCAGGGGTTTGGCCTCGCGGGCTTTGGGGCTTGAAGGCGATGGGGCTTCAGCTCTTTAGGGTTGAGGGCACGGTGCGGTATAAATCCTGCATGACCTTAAGGACCCTAAACTATGAGAATTATGGTATATTCCTCATCATGGGCCCTAAACCCTAAACCCTAAATCCTAAAACCCTAGAGCCCAAGCCCTAAAGCCCTTCTTATGGGCAATGGATGATTTATATCATCACCCTAAACCCTAAACCCTAAACCCTAAACCCTAAACCCTAAACCCTAAACCCTAAACCCTAAACCCTAAACCCTAAACCCAGCAGTAGTGAGGCTGAGGTCGGGCAAGGTTTCTTGTGCGTCTCGTCTTCGAGACGCCTTTCGGGTAGACTTTCTAAAGTCCTAAACCCTAACGTAGGGGCCTAAATAGATACATATAGTCTCTGGGGGGGGGTTCCTTAGTATAGTTATTAGTAAGATATCACCCAAAACCCTGTTTTAATTATTAAGGCCCCTTCATTAAACTCGGGCTTAGGGTTCAGGATTGAATAGAGGCTTGAACAACTAGTAATACTATTCAGTATACTCCCTTTTTTGAAAGTATATTCTAATACACCCCGCAACCTTATTCCAATATCTACGAATCTAAGGACCCTGAACCAAATTAAGAACCCTATGAGAGACCAATGAACCCTATAGAATCCTTTCTCTTAGAGGAGCCCTATTCGATACTAAGGGCCCCCTATCTGCGGGTTAAGGGTTCCTAAACCCTAAACCCTGAACCCTGCACCCTAGACCCTAAACGCTGAACCCTGAACCCTAAACCCTAAACCCTAAACTTGCCCTAAACCCTGAACCCTAGATCCTAAACGCTGAACCCTAAACCATAATCCCTAAACCCTAAACCCTAAGCCCTAAACCCTAATCCCTAAACCCTAAACCCTCAAGCCTGAACCCTACGCATGAGGGTCTTTTCAGCCGCAAGGTTCTGCACATTGGGGGGTTTTGGGGTGTGGGGTTTAGTGTTTAGCGTTTAGGGTTCAGGGTTTAGGGTGGGGTTTAGCTTTGGGGTTAATGTTAAGGGTGAGGTTATAGGGTGGTTTGGGGTTCAGGGTTTAGGGTTTAGGGCTTTGGGGTTAGAGGGTGGTTGGGGTTCAGGGTTTAGGGTTTAGGGCTTTGGGGTTATAGGGTTTAGCGGTTTTAGGGTTTAGGGTTCAGAGCTGTGGGGATATCGGGTTTAGAGGTTTTGGGGTTCAGGGTTTAGGGCTTTGGGGTTATAGTAGGTCTAGGGTTGCAGGTCTAGGCTTGGGCTTTGGGTATATTGCTTTGGGTTTTTAACCCTTGCTTGCGGGATATTGACCAAGCAGTTCATGAACGTCTTGTCGCGCGATGTCAAAATAGAGCTGCCCTGCCCCTCCTAAAAAGGGTGTTTCGGATTGCCTTCAACCCCAACCCTTAAAACTACACGAACCCAACCCCACTGCAAAGCCGTACAAGACACAAACACCCCACGAAGCCCAACAGAAAAACACACCACGAAGCCAAACAGAAACCAAAGAAGCCCCGAACCCTAAACCCAAAGCCCTAAACCCTTCAGAGTGCCCGAGGCAGTCATCGGGGTCCTCACCGAGTCGGAGCCTTATGGGGTGTATTGTTTGGGGTTTAAGGTTTAGGGAATAGCAATAGAGACAACACTAGTGAGGGACAACACTAATACTACTTATGAAGTCCTGTATATGGGTAGTTCTGCAAACAAGCCCCCTTTTGGGGTCCTGTTTATAAAAGTGCCCCCTAAACCCTAAACCCTAAACCCGACACCCTAAACCCCAAACCCCAAACCCTAATTGAAAAGGAACCCTTCCCATATGGGTTTTCCGGAAGTTCTCACAAGCTTCAGCCGGGAGTTTCGGGATTTTGTGGCAACGCGGAGTTTCGGGTTTGGGGGTTTCGAGTTTCGGGTTTAGGGGTTAGGGGCTTCGAGTTGATGGTTTAGGGTTTAGGGTTTGGGGGTTCAGAGTTTCGGGTTTAGGGGTTAGGGGTTTCGAGTTTCGGGTTTAGGGTTTCGGGGTTTCGGGTTTAGGGGTTTGGGGTTTCCGGTTTGGGCTTTAGGGTTGAGGGTTTAGGGGTTTAGGGCTTTGGGGTTTAGGGTTTAGGGATTTGAGGTTTAGGGTGTCGTTTTGGATGGGGGGTGAGCTGTCGATTGGGTACTGACCTAACGACCCTTCAGCCCTTAACCCCGGATCCTTCTCAAGGTATCAGTGATAGGGTTCAGGTTTTGGGTTCAGGGTTTGGGGTTTAGGGTTTAGGGTTTAGTTGAGGTCCACGTCTTATGGTTCCAGCGGGCTTGAGTCTTCTTATGGTGCGGGGGGAGTGGAGGGTTTCAAAATCCGGAATTTGGTGCGTCAGCACCTGCACACCCCAGTGTCTACTTTTCAGCGCCTTCGGCACGAGATCCGCAGATGCTATAGAATGCCTGTAAGACTCTGTTAGGACCTTTACTTATATGACACTGATGCCTGACACTTTCATAGGTTTGAGCACCCCGCAAGGCATACAGGCATACAGTACCTAGTAGAAGCCCTAATCAAGCCCTACAGAAGCGTAATCAAGCAGCATCACTTCGATTCCGTGCCTTCCAGAATCCCGCGCCCAAAGCAAAAGAACGTCCAGCCCGCCGTTTGCGCGAGGCTTTCTGGCGCCACGCCCGCAGGACCTGGGATTCAGTTCGGTTTGGGGTTTGGGGTCTTGGGTTTTGGAAAAGGAAAGATTTATAAGGGCTTGGTTTGCGTACCACAGCGGTGCTATACCAAGCGTTCAACAGGGGTTTATGGGTTTTAGAGTTGTAGGGTTTAGGGGTTAAGGGTTTTAGGATGCAGCAAGTCGTGTTGCCGTCATACCCTAAACCCTGAACCCTAACCCCGAAACCCTTAACCCTAAACCCTAAACCCTGAACCCAAACCCCCAGACCCTAAACCCTGAACCCTAAGCCCAAAACCCTGAGCCCTAAACCCAAACCCCTAAACCCTGAACCCTGAACCCTGAACCCTAAGCCGTAAGCCCTGAACCCTGAACCCTAAACCCTAAACCCTGAACCCTAAACCCTGAAGGACTGACTGTCTTGTCAGGGCAACCTAACGCTGCCAGAGGAGAAGCTCCCTGCAGGTATATTGGTGCCATGCTTTAGGGGTTCAGGGGTTTAGGGGTTTAGGGGTTTAGGGTTTCGGGGTTTCGGGTTTAGGGGTTTGGGGTTTAGGGTTTAGGGGTTTAGGGGTTTAGGTGTTTAGGGGTTTAAGGGTTTAGGGTTTAGGGGTTTAGGGTTTAGGGGTTTAGGGGTTTAGGGTTAATATTAGGGGTTTAGGGTTTCTTTTATCCAATAATCTAATATAGGGGCCTGAATGATTACCTATACTATTTTGGAGGTTCTGTATTATAGTTATAGTCTAATGGACCCCAAAAGCCTATACTAATCATTAAGGGCCCCTACATTAGCCAATTTTCCCACAGCTGCCCGAACCCTTGCCACTCCGAGCCATCAGTCTATAGTTCGCAGACGTGCTCGGAAAGCCATGGACTTCTCTGCTCCTACCTCCTTGGCGATGGCTCTGATTCCTTCCTGGTGCAGCGATCACCCAACACCAAACAACAAACAACAGGCAATAAACAACGAACAGTAAGCAATAAACAACAGACAACAAACAAGCAGCAAGCAGCAAGCAGCAAACAGCAAACAGCAAACAACAAACAACAATCAACATCATTAACAGCTACAACAGCAACAACAACACATGCAAAGGCAACAGCAACAGCAACAGCATCAGTAACAGAAAGAGCAACAGCAACAGCAACGGCAACGACAGCAGCATCTTCATCAGTAACGACAACAACAACAACCACAGCTACAACAGCAAAGCCAACCACATCAACATCATCATCATCACCACCGTCACCATCACGATCAACAACAACCTAAACAAGCACGTGTTCAACGTTTACGATTCCGGTTTGCAGGGTGTCGGGTTTTAGGCCGTAGGCCGGTTTTGCGAAATGCCTTAAACCTGGCATGTCAGCAGTTTCGCATTCAGGTTAATGCCGAGAATAGACCCTGCACCCGGCTGGTTCGTGCAGAACAGGCCTTCAGAACAAACAGAACAGACCCTGCACCCCAAATCATCCACCACCCCAGCCAGAAAAAAACGAGTCTGAATGGAAGGATCCACCCAAAACGGACCCGTGCTTCTTCGTCAGGAGCCTGGGCGACGGGGCTCCAAAGAGGAGGCATGGATGGGGCTTCAGATCTCGGGTGCAGCCTTTCCCTGGATAAAGGGAGCGTTCGTCCTCAGGATTTAGGGCTTAATATAGGGGCCTAAATAATTACCTCGACTGTTTTGGGGGTACCTTACTATAATCATAGTATACTATGCCCCAAAACCCTATTCCTAACTTTAAGGCCCCCACATTAGGGCTCTAGAGGCTTTGGGTTTCAGGGTTTAGGGTTTCCGACTGCGCTCATGACACATGAAATGTATCCAGGACTAGGAGGATGATGCTGGTTATGATGCTGCTGATGATGATGATGGTGATGATGGCGGTGAGGAAGATCAAGCTCAGTGCGGGCCATTTGGCTGCATTTAGGGACCGGCAACACAATGTCTGCCTGCAGTCTGTCCCGTTTCTGCATGACTGCTGTGCAACTGAGACGCCACTGGCTTCATGGACATTGATCCCGGCAGTGAGCTCAGCTTGATGGAGGAGAAGTTGGAAGCCGCACAGCAAAAGCTCCTGCCGACTGCGAACCATACAGTCGCAGCAGTGGCTGCTGGGACACAGCAGGGCCCAGGTGCTGCTGCCGATCCCGCTGCGCCCCTCGTCCGCGCCCTCGACCGCTGCCCGCACCAGCAATGCGCCAACTGCAGCACCTGCTCCGGATAGGAATACCATGCTATTGATGATGATGATGATGATGATGATGATGATGGCCATGACGATCATACTAGCCGTGATCATGTGCATCATGGTCATCATCATCATCATCAGCAGCACCATCACCATCATCACCATCACCATCATCATCACCATCATCATCATCATCATCATCATCGCCATCATCGCCATCATCGCCACCATCAGCATCATCTTCGCCACCATCATCAGCAGCATCGTCATCGTCATCGTCCTCCTCCACTTCCTCCTCCTCACCGTCATCATCACGACTATGCCCATTCCTGAACTTAACCTTCGACCCCACATCCAAAAATCGAGGACCATCACACGTTAGCCCCGAGAGCCAGCCCACAACCATGTCAGACCCCTACTTGGTTTAGGGTTTAGGGGCTCATGGGTAGTTATAGGGGGGGCTTTAAGTAGGGCAGCACCTAAACCCTAAACCCCAAACCTCACATCCCCCTGCTTTTCTATGTAGAACCCATATTAAGAGACGTATAACCTTACTTCTAACTACCCATGAACATCCAAGTAGACTGGCAACCTTCAACCCCACAACTTGAATAATATAGGGGCCTGAATAATTACCTATACTACTTTCGGGTTCCTTATTAGGTTTAGGGTTTAGGGTTTAAGTTCGGGGTTTAGTATACTTGTAGAATAACATATCCTAAGGATTAAGGCCCCTACAATATGCCTTACGGAAGGTTCGACCAAGGCTTGCCAACAAACTTCAAGAGATCTCTTTTAAGTACGTGTGCCCCGAGCCCTGACAACCTTGAACCCTTAAAGACTTGAATTGGGGCCCTAAGCCCTAAACCCTTAAAGACTTGATTTTGGTCCCTAAGCCCGAAACCCTTAAAGACTTGATTTTTGGGGTCTAAGCAAGCTTCATTCAAAGCCCGAATTCTCGGCAGGAAGTGGATCGACACCACCTGCTGCACATCAGCGAGTGGGGGCACTCATCCGTCTGCCGGGGTGCGGTTTAGGGTTTAGGGTTAAGGGTTCAGAGTGTAGCGCGGGCTTTGAAGCATCATTCTGCCGCGGCTGTGCCCTGATGGCCGATGTAGGGCTTGTTTAGGACTGTGGGAAGCCCACAAACCCTACACCAGAACGACTACTGGGAGGCCCTAAACCCTAAAACCCTA